CTGTGTAGGCTGTAGTGGGGTAGACAATATGGGGTACAACACTTTTAGGTTTTCCTACTTGTACCCACCTGTTTCCTACTGCATACATTCCTCATTCTTTCACACCATGACGTTCCGAAAACAAATTCGAACATACAAATGTGACAGCGTGTTCTCCAGGTGACGCCCTCCTTGTTCGAACAAGCGCCTTGTTCGAACATGCGACGTCGCCCAAAATCAGGCGATGGCGCGAGGCGACGAATCCAACGTTTGAGGGTTCGTCAGCCTCTACAAATAGTCCAAAAAGTTATTCGCATTCAATGCGACGCGTTGCGCGGCTGATCAATCAAATGCCTCGTCCTTGCGGAAATTCTGTCACCTAGGTCTGGGCGTTCGAACAACTCTGTTCGAACGTGCAACGTGAATCGCTATGCGCCCGATGTGACAGCGTTGTTCGGATGGGCGACAATTCCGTCATTCGACGGTGTAAAAGCCCTTGCGAAGCGTGGCGAAAAATGTAACATTTCGCCTGTTCAAACAAGAATGTTGTTCGAACAGCGAGGTGATACGCCCTAAATATCAAGCAGGAGGGTGCATGGGTTGCGGGGGCATGGGTGCGGGACACAGGGCTGATGGGGGGGTGTTTGGGGTGACAAGGGAGCACCGAATCGACACTGTCGGGGGAGGGCAGGTGAGTTTGACAGACACTTTGTGTGTCTGTGTGTATGTGTGTCTGTGTGTGTGTGTATGTGTGTGTGTGTGTGTTTGTGTGTGTGTGTGTGTGTTGCGGAGATAACTACTAGAACGGGAGCTAGACTACGGGCTAGGCACGGGTGCTCGTGTGACCTCTGCGTTCGTTGTTCCTTAGTCGTTTTCCTAGTGCACACACTGCTTGCTAGTTCACGGGACAATTCGGCAAGAGTTTTACTAGAGAAAGTTGACAACAAAAGAACAATCAATTTGGCATAGCAAGACTATATCAGAGCTAGGATGCAAGTCGGTCATTTGTCAGCGCAGCATGGCCGACCACGTGCTGGCACGACTTGGTCGACCACGCTCCAGCAGTGCAAAGTCGTGGCTTACCAACATTGGAAGTCGACGGTGTGCCAACGACGCAGACCGACGGCGTGCCGACGTCGCAGGTCGACGGCGTGCCAACGTTGCATCCGCAGAACAGTAGCGCACTTGCTTCGCAGGTGCTCGCAGATGATTGGTGCGCCGTGCCTTGTCACCTGCACAGCGCACGCACCAAATCGTCCTCGTGCTGACGATTGCGCCTGATCCGCCACGTCGACCTCGGGATACGAACACCTGGGCGACTGTCGCTTGCCTTCGCAAAACCTCGTCACTCAGGTAACCAGGTCGACCGGGCAACCACGTCAACCAACTGCTCCTTCACGTGCCCGTTGATCACCCAAGTCGACGACCACTTCCAGTCGACCTCACCAGGTCAACCACACCCTTGGTCGACCAGCTCCAGGTCGACCAGCACATCTGTCAGCCGACCACACCCAGTCGGCTACCCCAAGTTGGCGTCACCAAGTCGACGCCGCTTCTACGTCGGCGCCAACTTCCAGGCTGACCTCTTGAAGTCAGCGACCTCCCAAGTCGGCGACCTCGCAAGTCGGCGACCTCCTAAGTCGGCGACCTCGCAAGTCGGCATTCTCGCAAGTTGGCGACCTTGCAAGTCGGCGACCTTGCAAGTCGGCGCCGACTTCCAGGTCGACGCGCCACATCGCCGACCACCAGTTGAAGTCGGCCGCGAGCTTCCCATGTCGGCGGCATTGCAGTGGCCCCGTGCAAGTCGACCAAACCCGTCGACCGGCTCGCCCAAATCAGCGTCGCCCAGTGCCGCAAATCAGCTGTACCTCTCGTACACCCAATCACGAAGTCGGCTCCGCCCAAGCGAGGACGGGGCCAACAACAACTCCCGTTGACACTCCTCTGCCGCGTTCACGCTTGGGCCCCCAGCCCACACGGCATCACTGCTCGGAGAATAGCTTGTCGGCGTGCACCCAACACATAGCACGCCAGTCACCGCACCAGCCATGCAGGAGGGCATGGCACGTACTGTTGCACGTCATTGTCCCCTTCGCCCACGTCGGCCAAGCGCACCTGGCCAATGGCAACGGAGCACCGGTTGAAGGCCGGATAGTGCAGCGCCTTTGTCAGGAAGTCGGTCGGCTGCTCAGCGGTCAAGATGTACTTCAGTGAGAACTTCCCATGCTTCCCCATGTGCCGCAGCCAGGCTTGTCGCCGCTCCATGTGCTTGAGGTTGCCTGTCAACCCGACGCCCTCGGCGACTGTGATGGCCAACTTGTTGTCCACCCGAAGGACAGTCGACTTCCCGGCATCCAGCTGCCGAAACTCTGCAAGGAGGAAGCAAAGACAACGTCCCTCCTTGCCGACTTCCGTGGCCGCCACGTACTCCGACTCGGTCGACGACAGCGTCGCGCACTTGATGCGCTGGCTCGATTAGGAGACTGTGGCCCCTCCGTAGATGAACACATAGCCGCCCGTGCTCGTCCGGCCCTGTTTGTCACCGGCGTCGTCGGCGTCCACGTAGTCGACCAGCTCCAGCGACTCAGGTCCACCACCGAACTCCAGAGCGGTGTCGCGAGTGTTGGCGAGGTAGGCGAGACAACGGTCGACCTCGCGCCAGTATTGGTCGCTCCTCACCGTGAGCCGACCTTCTGCCGGTACTCCTCTTGTTGCTCCTGTGCGTCCTCATTATCGAAGGTGAGCTCGTCGTAGGCGTCGACCGAGACCGGCGTCTTCGGAGTGCGCTTGGTCCGCTCCTTGTCGATGAAGCGCTTACGCAGCTTGTCGGCGTAGCCCTGTTGATGCAGCCACAGCTTCCCCGCCGACCTGTCGCGGACGATCTCCAGCCCGAGGTACTTCTGCACCGGCGAGATCTCACGCAGCTCGAAGGCGGACTCCAGCAGCCCCTTCAGCTCCTTCAGCATCTCGGTGCTGCTGCTGGCGGCAAGCAGGTCGTCGACGTAGACCAGCACCCAGCAGGCCACTCCGTCGTCACCGACCTTGAAGTACAGAGCCTCGTCGTCCTGGCTCTTCTTCCACCTGGCACCGACCAGAACGTCATTGAGCGCCAAGCACTACAACAGTGGCGATTGCTTCAGCCCGTATAGGCTCTTCAGCAGCTTGCACACCCGGCCGGTTCCGTCGTTGAAGTAGTCCGGCTGGGTCATGTACAGCTCCCGGTCGAGCTTGCTCTGCAGGAAGGCATTCTTCATGTCGAGCTGCATCAGGTTGAGGTTGAGGACGGCGATGATGCTGAGGAAGATCCTCAGAGTGACGTAGCAGCCCACCGGCGCAAACGTCTCGTCGTAGTCGGCGCCGTACACCTGGGTGAAGCCCTTCACGACCAGCCTCGCCTTCTCGCACTCGACGGTGTCGTCGACGTGGTACTTCGTCGTCAACACCCACCGATTCCTCATGATGTTCACTCCCGGCAGGCGTTCGACCATCTCCCAAGTGCCCATGTTGATGAGGCTACGGATCTCCTCCTCCATGGCGGCCTTCACCGCCGGGCCCTTCCAGCTCACCAACGCCGCCTTCACCGTCATCGTCGCGATGTCCCAATGGTGCTCGGGGTCGGCATGCATGTCGGGGTCGAGCTCCGGAAACTCCTCATCCTCCTCGGCGTCGTCATATGCCAGGTCGTCATCATCCACGTCATACACCGTGGTGAAGGCAGCGGGGACGAAGAAGTCCGGTGGCCTCCGAAGTCGGCCTGACTTCCGAGGTTCAGGCCGAACCTCCACCACGTCACTGTCGGTGGACTTCTCCCCTTTGTCACCGGCTTCGCTGCCCTTGCCATCCTGCTGCACCTCAGTCGACTTCCTGGCCGACCTCTTCCCTGTGGTCGGCTCCTCTGCCGACTGCCTGGTTGCCAACTTCTCCGTGGTCGGCTTTACCGCTGCTTGCTTTTCTGTCGGCTGCTGCCGTGCTGCCTGCTTCGCCGACTTCACCCAAGTCGGCTCCTCCTCCTCGACCTGCTCCTCCCCTATCAACGTCGACTTCACTCCCACGTCGACTTGCCGCTCGTCACGTCGGCCATCGGCAATGCCCTTGGCCGGCGCCGAAGGCGACATCCTACGACTCCCCTCATCGCCGGAGGCCAACACAGAAGTCAGACCGCGCATGTCGGCCACGAGGGGAGGGGCAGGGGTCGGAGGGGGAGGGGAAGAGGAAGGAGAACGGATGACCTCGACGTCCTCGTCAGCAAGCTCACCGACCTCGGCGAGCAAAGGGAGCGATGCCGTTGAGGTGTCCGTCGGCGGGGTGGTCGGCGTCCGTCCCGACGCCGGCCCGAGCTCCGAATTCCACACCTCCAGCGACATATCCTCGTAGAACACCACGTCCGACGTGGTGACCACCCGGTTGTCGACGATGTCGAGCAGCTCCCAGCCCTTGCTCTCCGCCGACACACCGAGGTGAAGGCCCCACTTGGCCTTCGGCTTCAGCTTTCCGCCACACTGCTGCTTGGGGACCAAGAACTATGCCATACAGCCCCACACCCGTGCCAACGACAGGTCGGGTTTCTGCCCGGTGAGCAGCTGGTACGGCGTGGTCCCCGGCGGCAGCGTCGACCTCTCAAGGCAGTTGCGGACCCAGACGGCCTGTCGCAGAGCGAGGTACCACCAGTGGTGCTGCACGCCCATGTGTAGCAGCATCGTCAGCACCGACTCCACCACCGTCCTCATCTCCCACTCCGCCATGCCGTTCTGCTGCGGGGTGTACGGGCAGGTAAGGTCGTGGACGATCCCCTTTCCGTCCACAAAGTTGGTGAACTTCTTCCCGAGGAACTCCCCTCCTCGGTCGGAGCGCAGCATCAGCACCGACTTCTTCGCCTGCCCCTCCACCAGCACTTGCCACTTCTGGAACCCCAGCAGCACATCTGACTTCTTGGCTACCGGCCTCACCCACACGAAGCGGGTCTTGCTGTCCTTGCTTCCCCGGGGCGACGTAGTTTGCCTGCGGGCCGAGGCCGCGCTAGAATGCCACAAATTTACCCCAGGTGGGGTTGCTGATTGGTGCTAAGAAACAAGCAATGCCACGTCGTCACCACACATACGGAGCAGAAGTGCGTTTTGGACTTGTTTTGCCACGTGTTGCCAATCTCCCTGTCGAAGACCTCCCTTCCCTGTCCCCCAACTCCCCCCCACTCTTCCCCCCCCTCCCCTCACACCCTAACCGTACTTCACCCTCCCAGGGACAAGAAGCGGCATGTGATCACCACTCAAACCGTGCACAAGTGCGTGTTGGACTCCTGCCGGCACCTGCAGCAGGAGGGCTTCGACGTGACTTACCTCTCATGCGCTCATCGATCCCTCCTTCCGCCCAAACCCCCCACATCAAACATGCAGGGACAAAAAGCGCCATGTGATTACCTGCAGCAGGAGGGATTCGACGTCACTCACTTTTCATCAATTGCCCCTCACTTATCCCGCTTTCCTTCCTCTCTTCCCCCCGTTGGCACCCCATTCCCCATTCCGGTTCCCCCATTTTCCTTTCCCCCATACTCTCATCCCTCGTCCTTCACCCCGCCAGGGACAAGAAGCGCCACGTCATCACCACTCAAACCGAGCACAAGTGTGTGTTGGACTCGTGCCGGCACCTGCAGCAGGAGGGCTTCGACGTGACTTAGCTGCTTTCCGTCCATGCACTCACCTGTCCCTCTGTCGTCCTCCTTGCCCGTTCCCCTTTCCCCTTGTTCCCCTTCCCACGGTTCCCCCCTCCCCCCGTTCCACCTACCCCCACTCCTTCCTCCCCTACTTCAACCATACAGGGACAAGAAGCGTCACGTCATCACCACTCAAACCGAGCACAAGTGTGTGTTGGACTCGTGCCGGCACCTGCAGCAGGAGGGATTCGACGTGACTTACCTGCTTTCCGTCCATGCACTCACCTGTCCCTCTGTCGTCCTCCTTGCCCGTTCCCCTTTCCCCTTGTTCCCCTTCCCACGGTTCCCCCCTCCCCCCGTTCCACCTACCCCCAATCCTTCCTCCCCTACTTCAACCATACAGGGACAAGAAGCGTCACGTCATCACCACTCAAACCGAGCACAAGTGTGTGTTGGACTCGTGCCGGCACCTGCAGCAGGAGGGCTTCGACGTGACTTACCTCCCCGTCGGCTCTGACGGTCTCGTCGACCTCGAAACCCTAAAAGCCGCGATCCGCCCGGACACAGTTCTCGTTTCGATCATGACCGTTAACAACGAGATCGGCGTCATCCAGCCGCTCGCCGAAATCGGGCAGCTCTGCCGGGCAAACAAAATCTTCTTCCACACCGACGCTGCGCAGGCAGCGGGGAAAATCCCGCTAAGTGTCGACGAGCTAAACATCGATCTTCTCTCGCTTAGCAGCCATAAGATCTACGGTCCGAAGGGGGTTGGTGCTTTGTATGTGCGCCGCCGACCCAGAGTGAGGCTCGAGCCTCAGATGAGCGGTGGAGGCCAGGAACGGGGTCTCAGGTCCGGTACCGTACCTACCCCGCTGGTGGTTGGGCTAGGTGCGGCATGCGCCGTCGCCGAAGCTGAACTAGAACGCGACTACCGCCACGCAGAGCACTTAAAGGAGAGGCTTTTAAAGGGGATAACGTCGCAGCTGGAAGGGGTGGTGATCAACGGCTCTGATGAACCCGGGAAGCGGTACCCGGGCAATCTGAACCTCTCGTTTGCGTATGTGGAGGGGGAGAGCCTGCTTATGGGGTTGAAGGAGATCGCGGTGTCGAGTGGCAGTGCATGCACGAGCGCGAGTCTCGAGCCCAGCTATGTGCTGCGGGCGCTGGGCGTGGAGGAGGAGATGGCTCATACCTCCATTCGGTTCGGATTCGGGCAATTCACCACTGAAGAAGAGGTGGACAGGTGAGTTTTAGGGCTGGCGGTGTTGTGGGTAGCAGGAGCAGGGGATAAGCAAGTGAGAGGCAGGTAAGAGGCAGGTGAGAAACAGGGGAAAAACAAGAGAGACGCAGGGGAGGAACAGATATATGGTGTGGGTATTTGGGCTGAAGGAGATTGCGGTGTCAAGTGGCAGTGCGTGCACGAGTGCGAGTCTCGAGCCCAGCTATGTGCTGCGGGCGCTGGGCGTGGAGGAGGAGATGGCTCATACTTTCGGTTTGGGTTTGGGAGGTTTACGACAGAAGAAGAGGTGGACAGGTGAGCAGCAGCTCAGGATAGGATAGGTGAGAAGCAGGGCAGGACAGGACAGGACATGACAGCTATGTGTTGTGGGCATTGGGAGTAGAGGAGGAGATGGCTCATTCGAAAGGTTCACGACTGAAGAAGAGTGGACATGTGAGAGTGGGGGCTGAGGGTGGCGTGGGTAGCAGCAGGTGAGCAGCAGCACAGGGATGTGCTGATGTTACTTATGAGAATTCTCAAAAGTGACAGGGATGTGCCCTGAGTGTGGCAAGGTTAAGTACGAACAGCAGGTTTCTATATTGCAGTGGGCTGGGGCTTGGGGTGACAACTTGGGCATGGGCATGGACAGATGGTCATCAGCATGGGCTTGCATGCATGTACGGTATGGGTTTTTGGATTTGTTATTTTGCTTCCTCATTCCCAATCTCGATCGTAACGTCTCTTCTCGAATCGGTTCGTTTATTTGTCCTTCCCCTCGCTGTGCAGGGCTGTGGCGCTGACAGTGCATCAGGTGCAGAGGCTGAGGGACATGAGTCCGCTGTGGGAGATGGTGCAGGAAGGCATTGACATCAAAACCATCCAGTGGTCACAGCACTGATCAGATTACAATTATGGCAACAATGTTACTTCCTGAAGAGGCTGGATAGTTGCACTGTATGCTGCGGTTTTTGCCAATACCATACTTTGGTATCGTTGCAGTGTTTGGGCTGTACATGAAAAATCGATGTTCTCACCTTGATCTTATTCAGTTTCAAGAGGTGCTAGCCGTATACGGTTTCATTTTTCATATTCAAGTGTTTTTGGCGATCTGAGCAGCAACGAGTGTGCTTGCTTGAGATGTTTCGCCTTTGCTTGGCAACTTCTGGTCGTCGACACGTCCTTGCGAGCCTCGTCAGCCGCAGCCACGTGCTTCTACGCTTCTGGCCATGCCAAGCCTCCACGTTTGCTGATATTACCTGGTTCGCGGACGGTCTGCGAGCCTAGCCTCGGAAGCTCGGGTGGAAGTGGTCCAGAGGCGGTGACACGTTGCGTGCTTGGATTGGGGATTCTTTCCAGAAGCTGGGGAAGGCTGGGCTTGTGGCGGAATCTTGCCTGGCTCGTGTTGTGTGCTTCGGCACACAATCTCGAGGACCAGTATCATCAGCAAGGATGTTGAACTCGAATCTCGTTTTCCCTACACCAAACCGCTCTTAACCGCATCTCCGCACATTTCCGTACCTTTTCACGCAACGAGTATGGTTCATAGCGCTTTGGGTGGTAATCTGTGCGCTTACATACGGTTCTTTACGGTGGTGGCCTGACCTGTGCCCGAACTGCTCTGCTCAAGCTCATGGAGATTATCCCCCTAGAAATTGCCCTCAAGACGACTTTTTCTAGGTTCCTCAGCCTGGCTCAGCTGGGGAAAAGTTGAAAGCTCAGCTTTTGTTTCGCCGTGCTTCACGGCACCTAATCTGCTTCGGGGTAGTTCCCAGGCTCCTGTCCCGTTGCCGTTCCGCTTGTCGTGTGCGTCATCTCCCACCCACCCCACTATTTCGTTTACATACATTGCAGTTTCCTGGCAGTTCACGCAACCAACCCGTCCATCCTTCGACCAGCACCGCCTCTCGCTCAATCATAGGACCAATCCCTTGCTCATCTCCACACATTCTTCTCCTTTCAAACCACGCGAGTACGACGGGTCTCGGCCCGGCTAGTCAATACCCTCAGCTGGCGACAATCCAAGTGTGATTCACTTGGCGGTGGATTCTAGGGTTGTTAGTGCTCGCACAGGATGTGGAAGGCAGCAGCGAGTCGCCTGATCCCCGCCGCTCTTCGCGCGCAGCGGGGAGCGTCGTCGCACGCTAATGGCATTCGCAGCGCGCCGTTTATCGGGCGAATGATGTCCTCGCAGGTGCGTGCGACCGACGTCTCTAGACTAATCCTCTCAGCGCTTTCCGAGTCGACGTGGCAGGCTCATATAGATGCAATAGGCAACGATCTAACTTCCGCCTACATTTCTGTCTGTTCTTTTCATTTTCCCGGACGCTAGTTCTGGGCGTCCGATCTTAAGTTATATGTTGCATAGAAAGGTCTTTCGACTATTGAGTTCACTCAAGACGTTCTTCTTATAACTAAGTCTCCAAGAGTTTGTCTTCAGCTTTATTCCAATTAAACTACAGACGTCCATCGAAAAACTTGGTACCACGTGAAGCTTGGGACATGAACCAGCATGAACCTCTCCGCCTTCTCCGCCTTCCGGCGGCCATGGATTCTGCCGAGACAGTTAGCGTCCTCGCTAAGAAGCCAAGGAATAACATCAGTTTATCATCAGCGGATCGCTGTTAACATACACTTCGGAAAACCGGTCATTTATGCTGACCTTGGTTTCTCCTGTTTCCAGCTTCCGGACTCTGAAGTTGTTCAGGCATTCCCAAGGCGCTTACATGCTACTACACTGTTCTCGCTTCCTGCTTTAAACAAGGATTCATCTACGCTTATCTCGTTTAACAATGACGGAGCTTTCAAGGACTCTACATCGAGATTGCATTGTCATTACCTCGAGACTTTGGAGCCTGACAAGTTCAGTTTCCTACTTAAAGGTCCCGTGCTCAGCCATCAGGCAGATCATTCTTCAGCAACAGCTTTCTGCTATCCTCAGATCTCTTCTCTGCTGCCTCGACTTCATCATTGCACGATGTCTCATCCTAAGGGTCTGCGCTCCAAGGCCGCGGCTGATTCTGCTGGCTCCGTCGGCGTCAACACCGCATCTGATCCGCTGCTCAAGCCTGCTGACGGAAAGAAGTCAGGGGGTGAAGAGATCAGTTCGCCGTTTAACAAGCTCGCTGGCAACATTGACTCCACTGCAAGCGGATCTGGACTTTCTGCACAAGAGAGAGTTTCTACGAAGGCCATTGCTAGCGGCTCAGTACTCACTGACGAGGATGGCTTCTTGGATGATGACTTCGACGACGACATGGTGGTGGATCTGGACAAAGAAGCGTCGTCCATGTTGCGCTCCATAGCCATCCTGCTGATTCCTTTTGTTCTTGCACAAGAAATTTCCTGCATTATCGATGCGGTTAAGATGCTGATGAAGCGTGGTTGGTACTCTGAACTCTCACAGAACGTGCTGCAGACGGTGAAGTTTCAGGTTCTTCAGCCAGCTTACATTGCGAAGGTCCGCTATTGTCGGCTTCAGGCCTCCTTCATCCTGGAGTCAGATGCGGTTTGGGTGGCAAAGAAAGAAGTGGTTTATCAAGCGCTCAACGGCAAGCTCCACAAGCTTCACTGGCAGCTTCTGGAAGATGCTGTGTTCAACCGCGAGAAGTCGCTGAACCCGCACGCCATTGAAGTCATCCTTAAGGGGGTGTCAGCTTCGGTGGAGCTGAGCATGATTCATGATCGGCTGGCGCTGTACAAGATTGCGAGTTGGGATCGTTCCGCCTTTCTGCGCTGCACCTGTCTTCACCGTGTACTTCATCCGGTGACAGGCGCGGACACCGATGTTGTGAAGGGCTTGGTCTACCCGCACCCGAACGACCTTCACCGCCGTATTCACGCTGTCCCTGATCCGGCCGACCGCGCGAAGAGGCTGCTCGTCCATTATCCTTCGCTCTCCTGCTCGCTCTGCGGGGGTCAGCATTATGATAAGTATCATAATGCTTTCACCACTGAGCGGCAGAATAACGTAGGAAAATGGAACTTGACCTTGGGGAAAATTCACAGGCTTAACGGTAATGTTACCTTACAGCTTTTACTTACCCTAGAAGATTCCGACCCGCTCTTCTCTGTCTCTTACCTTACTGACTCTCTGGCTGACTGTTGCAGCGGCGTCCTTGAGCACTTCCACGATAGTCCTCCCCCTGCTCCGCGATCCTGCACTGGCTCTCATCTCGACTGGCAGCTGCAGGGAGGAATGGATTTGCGTTCAGGAGGGTTGTGGAAAGGCACACGGCAAGAGCTTCATGACAGCTTCGGAACACATTGCAACTGCGGCTCACATGGTGCATCTGGAGAAGCCGGGTGCTGCAACCAAGCAGTCGCTCGAGAGGACGAGCCTTGCTGTCATTCGGAAGGAATACGACGTCTAACTGACCTGGAATGGAGATTGGATGTTGCTGCCAGTTGGAGTCTAGGAGTCAGCGTAGTCTGTGTTGTAACCTTTTCCAGCCTCTGGAAGACAGTGGCTAAGGGGCTGCAAGACAGTGGACCCATGAATTACAAAAACCACCTCACCATCGCGAGCCTCAATGTTAACGGCCTAGGAAACCGAGACAAACGTGACCGTGTAACTAGATGGCTTCACTCAACCAAAGCAGCTGACATCAATGTCTTAGCGGACACTAGAATAGGACCGAGCCATAGCTACTGGAAAACCCTTACCGACACCACAACCATTGCCTCTTCTTACCTCACACGCGCTGGTGGGGTCGCCATCATTAGTAGAAATCCCGCTGTTACCTTCCATGACTCTCTTATTCACCCCTCAGGTAGACTGATTAGAACGACAGCTAAGTCTCCCGGTCTAGATCTCACCCTTCTAGCCGTGTACTTCCCTTCCGATCCCACCATCAGATCTAGATTCATTCATGACTCTTTAGGACCTGTAGTTGATAGCATCCCTCCCACCGAACACCTCCTGCTGATAGGAGACTTGAACATAACAGACGACCCGAAGCTTGATAGGACATCCGGTCAGGGCTCCTCTTCCGAAAATGATAGACTACTCTTAAGATGTACCGCCTTCCAATTGTCAGACGCCTTCCGCACCCTGCATCCAAGATGTAGAGAATATACCTTTTACTCCAAAGCTCAGAAAGCCAGTACCCGTATTGATCGCGCGCTTCTGTCTCAGTCGCTTCTACCTTTCTTGTCCACCGCTTCGCATGACAAACTTGACGAACCAATCTCTGATCACAGTTTCGCTAGGCATGAGCAGGGGGCGAACTCGAACATGTTCGTGTTCGCCCCCTGACGAACATGGCCTTCTGCCGAACCGAACAGTGTTCGGTTCGGAGAACGACTTGAGTGAAAATAGGTGTTCGCCGTTCGCCCTAGGAGGCGAACGAATTGCTGCAACAGGCGAACACGAACATGTTCGTGGCGAACATGTTTGTGTTCGCCCAGGGGGAAATTCAATATAGAGTAAAATTCAAATCGTCGCACATTCTCTCCCCCCACCTCCCAAGCCAGTCCCGCCCTGCTTCATCCATCTAGTGCCAGCGTGCAACGGCGAAATGCTAGATCCGCACTTAAGCAGCGGCGAAATGCTAGATCCGCACTTAAGCAACGGCGAAATGCTAGATCTGCACTTAAGCAACGGCGAAATGCTCGATCCGCACTTAAGCAACGGCGAAATGCTAGATCCGCACTTAAGCAACGGTGAAATGCTCGATCCGCACTTAAGCAACGGCGAAATGCTCGATCCGCACTTAAACAACGGCGAAATGCTCGATCCGCACTTAAGCAACGGCGAAATGCTCGATCTGCACTTAAGCAATGGCAAAATGCTAGATCTGCACTGTACTAACTGCGAAAGGCCAGATCTGAGCCCAAACACCAAGGCCCGCGACCTAAAAATTGGTCGCGGGCCTATTTGTCGACGAACACATTGGTGTTTGTCGAAGGCCCGTGTCGAACACGAACACGTTCGTGTTCGACGCGCCTCGGCGAGCTGAGCCGGGCGAACGGCGAACGTGTTCGGGCGAACACCGAACACGTTCGCCCCGAACAATTTAGGCTAAAAAAAAATCCTGTTCGGTTCTCCTCGAACACGTTCGAGGCGAACCGAACAGGAGTTCGTCATATTGCTCATCCCTAAGTTTCGCGGTGAAGGTCGCTCTTCGCCTGGACGCAAAAGCCTGCACCGTGCCGGGAATGTGGAGAATGCATGCCTCAATGGTCCACCGGGAGGGAGTCCGGAAGATCATTGAGGCGACGGTGCGCAGGACGCCTGTGCACGACGGAAGCAGCTTTGAATTGCTCATCACGCGCCTGGGAGCGGGTCTCAGAGCATATGCAAAAGAGGAGAGTAAAAGGGTCAAGGCAACGTTGGCACACTTATCCAAGGCGGTTGCTCAGTTGACGCAGGAGGCGATGGGGGATCCCGGCTGTCTCGCAAAGAAGGCGCTCCTAGACGCGAAGGAGCTGCAGCTGAAACAATACCAAGCGGCAAGGCAAGAGCGTCTGCACCTGCAAGCTGGGCTGACGGCGGAGATGACCGGCGAGATCGCGTCAAAACACCTGTCGGCTAAGGTCCGAGCGAGGAAAGCAAGGACGCAGATTACGGAGCTAAATGTTGGTGGGGTGGCGGTCTCGGGACCCAATTAAGTCCTTGGTGCAACCTCGTCCTTCGTCAATAACATCTTCGGGAAAGACCGGCGCATGGATTTCGACGGCTGGGAGATAGACCCGAAGCGGCGCCTGGATGAGGGGGTCAAGGCGGCGCTAACGGCAGAATGGACAGAACAGGAGGTTAGGAATGCTTTTGCCGCGATGGCGAAGAACAAGTCCCCGGGGAGTGACGGGCTTCCGAAAGAGCTTTTCAAAGCGCACTGGGACCTGCTTGGGGGGAGTTTCATGGCAATGGCAAGAGATTTCGAGTCATCAGCTTCCCTGCCGGCGGAGACAAAGGAAGCAGTGACGATTCTCCTACACAAAAAAGGCGACCGCGATCAGCTCAACAACTACAGGCCCATAACGCTGTTGAACTTCACTTACAAGGTACTGGCGAGAGTGGTGGCGGACCGGTATTGCATCAAGTGATCTCTCCGGAGCAGTACGGCTTCCTCCCGGGGAGGCGGCTTTCTGATGCGGTGGCGCTGGTGGCTGACATAATAGATGGTGCAAATAACGACAACGAAGACTGGTACCTCCTCCTTGTTGACTTCCAGAAAGCCTTTGACTCCGTGTCCAGGGACTTTCTCTTCCAGGTGCTGAGGGGGATGGGGTTCCCACCGCGGTTTGTGGAGTGGATTGAGGGCCTGCATGCAAACACATCCACGAAACTCTTGGTCAACGGCTGGCTTGGAGAAGGATTGGAGGTGGTATCTGGTGTAAGACAAGGGTGCCCGCTCGCACCTTACCTGCTCTTGTGTGCGGTCGAACCCCTGGCGCAGGAGATAGAAAGGGCGAAGCTGGGGCTGAGCAAGGATGAGCAACGGCTAAATTATCTGGGGTATGCAGATGACACGACCCTGGTCCTGCAGGGGAAAGAGCAGATCGTCAGTGCGGAGAAAATCTTGGACAGGTTTGAAAGGGTCTCTGGGCTGGTGACCAACAAATCCAAATCGGTGGTGCTTCCCTTAGGAGCTAACTTTGGAGCGCAGGACGACAGCGGCGGCAGCTTTAAATGGGCTGATGCAGACGATGCGGAGAAACTGCTGGGGGTATGGGTGTCGCCTTCCGGCAGCGGCGTGAAGACCTGGGAAAAGGCCCTGTGTCACATCACGGAAAAATTGGTCAAGTGGAAGCAGAAGTACCTCACCACATCAGCCAGTGCGACGGTCATTACCTACTACATCGTCCCGATCGTGGCCTTTCAGGCGCAGATTTATCCACCGCCTGCTGACACGTGGGATGATGTCACTCGCCTCATTCATGGCTTTGTCTCGGGTAACAGAGTCTCGGCGGCGAAAGGTTTCATTCTTTGGAGCAAGGTCCTGCTGTATACATCCAGGAAAGCCGGGGGGATTGGAGTGAGAGATCCGGATGTTGTGATCTCCTGCCTCGCGGCCAGGAGGGTGGGGCTGTTTATCGAAGAAAAGGATCCGGTTAAGCGTGACATCATGTCTAAGGCGGCGGACTTACCTCTGGGGGTTGACAGCTTCGCGTCACATGAGAAGCTGTTCAAGCACTGGGACGGCCGGAGCATCCGCTGGAAGCAGACCTGCGAGTGTTTCATCTGTTCCCCTCTTTGCATCCGGCCGGCTGCGGTGAAAAGGGAGGAAGTGCTGCAAGAAAGGGTAGTTTTCAACGCGCGTATTGTGCTCAACGGGTCCACCCCGGTCGGAGGGCAGAAGGATGCGAAGCGGTTGCGAGAGCTCCGGCTGGGAGACCTGCTAGAGGAGGGGGTTGATGGCGAGTTAAGGTCGCTATCCATGGCGGAGTTGACTCAGAGGCTAGGGGGAAGCGGTCCTGCGAGGCTAGCAACGAAGGCACTGGGCGCTATTCCTGCGCTGTGGCTCCGTGTGCTGGGGTTTCCGACGGTGCTCCCTTGCTCGGCTGGCTCTGGAGGGAAGCTGAACATTTTTTCGAATGGGCAGTTAATCCCTTTTCGGCGGATGAGGGAGGCTTGGACGGAAGTTCACATCCAGTCATACAAGCAGCAGAAGTGGGCAGAACGGTGGAACGGGCAGATTGATTGGAAACGGGTGATCCGGACGCGTGACTCGCTGGCGGTCCCCAGCCGTCCTCGCGATGTGCTCATCCGGATCCACGGCCTCAATTTACAGGTGGGGGAGCGGCTGGCCTTCCTCAGCAGCAAGGCCATCTGCCCATACTGCGGGGAGCCTGAGACCCTGGAGCACTGCCTCGTTGAGTGTCCTCACATCCAGGCTGTCATCACAGCTCTCCGACGTGCCTTGTGCATGTTCAACCCCAACCGTGCAACGGCCACGTTGGGCGACCTCCTGTTCCGGAAAACCAGCACCAGCTCAGCTTTTCCGGAGCTGACCATCACGGCAATCACTTTTCACCAACTGTGGTTGGAGCGCTGTGATGCCGTGTTTCGGGCCGGGAAATTCCGAACGCAACGGCTGCTGCACAAGATCGAGTTCGCTTTCAAGCAACATGCAAAAATTTACCTTCGCAAGTTCGGGGTGACGTGGCGCAAGCAAAAGCAGAAGGGTCTGTCAGAGGAACAGAGGCTGCTGCAGAAGATAAGGCATGATGGCAGTAGTTGGAAATGGACAAATGCTTTTGCGGGGATCTGGTCCAACAGGAGGGCTCGGCTCTCAGTCTCTCGGCTGGGGCGGTAGTTTCGTCTACTGTTCCTTAAGCACGGTTACGACCGTCTTTGGTAGCATATGCTTGTTCTTCGGTGTATGCCTATCAAATAATCTAAAAAAAAAAAATGAAAAACTTGGTTCCCAGGCGTCCTTTTAAAAGGCAAATATCCAAACGTCCGTCTCAGAATGAGGGCGTCGTTGTGGGGACGTTCTAATGCTGGATCCCGTTGGTTTGAAACGGAAATGAAATTGCTATATGTATCCGATTTAATCAACTCGAGAAATTACACCATAATGACTTGATTCAGAGATCGGATCTGATCGCATCGGGTTTGATGTGCTCGCGTAATCCTACCTTGTGTCGCATCTCAGCACTCTTGCGTCGTCTTCCGGATTCGATCACATGCACGGTGCGGGGGTGGTGGGAGCTGGCGTTGCTCGTGTTATCCCGCACGTTGCTGGTGCCCCGCATCCCTCTGCGTCTCCCCGCATCCCTCTGCGTCTCCCCTCGTCCCTCTGGCTCATCCCGCATCCCTCGGCCCATCCCGCGTCCCTGTGTACCACCGTACATCGCCATCTCGTCCCTTCCAAGCGTACCCAGTGATCGACCACACGTACGACGCGGTGGTGGTGGGGCCGGGCGGGGCGGGGCGGGGCTGCTGTCACCCCGCACTCCTCTCTAACACCCCGCATCCCTCTGTACCACTCTGTCATCACGTCCTTCAGGCGTACCCAGTGATCGACCACACGTACGACGCGGTGGTGGTGGGGGCGGGAGGGGCGGGGCTGCGGGCGGCGATCGGGCTGTCGGAGAGCGGATTCAACACGGCCTGCATCACCAAGCTCTTTCCCACGCGCTCGCACACTGTCGCCGCGCAGGTGGGTCGCACACAATCGCCAGGGTCGCAACAGGGTCGCACACAGTCGCCAAGGTCGCTCACAGTCGCCAGGGTCGCACACAGTCGTCAGGATCTCTGTGGCTTTAACACGGCCTGCATCACCAAGCTCTTCCCCATGCGCTCGCACACTGTCATCAATGCCTCAACACAGCTCTCTCAATATCCACCCCTCCGGGCCCAACCTCACCTCACCCCTCCCCACCCCCTGGCGCCGCTTATTCTGTATCAGTGCGGCATTATCACAGCTCTCTTACAAGTCTTGCCCCCCGTTCCCACTTTCTTCCTGCCCCAACCCCCGTGTTTCCCCTCCCCCGGTCCCCCCACGCCCCCTCATTCCGTGCGTGCACCAGGGCGGCATCAACGCGGCGCTGGGCAACATGACTGAGGACGACTGGCGCTGGCACATGTACGACACCGTCAAGGGCAGCGACTGGCTGGGTGAGTGGTGCAGTGCAGTGCGGTGGAAGGCGATGAATGAGTGTTGTGAATGGTGCTGTGCAATGGGGATGTTTTTCCTTTTTTTTGGGGGGGTCGTGGGAGCATCCAGTACATGTGCGAGCAGGCGCCCAAGGCGGTGATAGAGCTGGAGCACTACGGGCTTCCCTTCTCCTCTCCACGTCTATTCTTCTATGCTGTAACTCACTCTTGTCCCCCCATGTGCAGGCGACCAGGACGCGATTCAGTACATGTGTGAGCAGGCGCCCAAGGCAGTGATCGAGCTGGAGCACAACGGGCAGTCCTTCTCTTCTCCACCTCTCCGCCCATGTGTTGCCTTCTACCCTCCCCTACCCCCTCCCTTCCCGTTTCCACCCCTCCAGGCGACCAGGACGCGATTCAGTACATGTGTGAGCAGGCGCCCAAGGCGGTAATCGAATTGGAGCATTACGGGCTGCCCTTCTCTCGCACTGATGACGGCCGCATCTACCAGCGCGCTTTCGGAGGGCAGAGCCTCGACTTTGGCAAGGGCGGGCAGGCGTACAGGTGGGTGGGGAGCGGTGGGCAGGGGTACATGTGGGTGGGGAGAGGCGGGCAGGCGTACAGGTGGGTGGGGAGAGGTGGGCAGGGGTAGAGTTGGGTGGGGAGGGGTGGGCAGGCGTACAGGCAGATGGGGAGGGGGCAGTCGTATGAGGGGATGGGGAGGGGCGGGCAGGCGTACAGGTGGATGGGGAGAGGTGGGAGAGATTGCATGGGTGGCATGGGTAGCACGGGGCATGCACTGCTGCACACACTGTACGGGCAGGCCATGAATCACAGTGCTCTGAACAACGGCGCTCATTCAACTCCCCCTTCTCTCGCCCTGTGCCCGTTCCCTGTGCTCGTCTCTCTTCTTGTCTGCCTCCCTACCGTTATCCAGGTGTGCATGTGCGGCCGATCGCACGGGGCATGCACTGCTGCACACACTGTACGGGCAGGCGATGAAGCACAACACGCAGTTCTTTGTGGAGTACTTTGCTCTCGACCTGATCATGGACAAGGAGGGTGAGTGGAGTTCTCAGATGTTCAATCTGGAAAGTAACGAGTGTGAAGGGCTCGCCATGGTTGAGATGTTTAGTGTTGGGACGTAGAGTGTTGAGACGTCTCATGAGTCAGGCAGGCAGGCCATGAAGCACAACACTCAGTTTTTCGTGGAGTACTTTGCACTCGACCTGATCATGGACAAGGAGGGTGAGTTGGGCTTTGAGACATGGGGAGTTGAGTGTAGAGGAGGCATCTCAAGAGCCAGGCGGGCAGGCCATGAAGCACAACACTCAGTTCTTCGTGGAGTTTTTTCGCCCTTGATCTGATCATGGACCAGGAGGGTGAGTGGAGAGAGGGAGAGTGAGCTGTCGAAAAGGCTGAGGAGGGGAGTCAAGCGATGAAGCACAGTACGCAATTCTTTGTGCGGCACTTAGCGCTTGATCTGATCATGGACCAGGAGGGTGAGTCGGGGTCTGGGACGATGAGTGTTGAGAGGTGTCGGAATCATAGCACATGCAAGTGGGGCACATGTGAGTGAAGCACAGCACGCAGTTCTTTGTGCGGTACTTAGAGCTTGATCTGAACATGGACCAGGAGGGTGAGTTGGTCAGGCCATGAAGCACAGCGCATTGATAAGCACGCTGCTTGCACGCATATGCATGAATTGGACTAGGCGTGTATCATGAATGTGACTGTATCGTGAATGTAGCTGTATCCTGAATGTAGCTGTATCGTGAATGTAGCTGTATCGTGAATGTAGCTGTATCGTGAATGTAGCTGTATCGTGAATGTAGCTGTATCGTGAATGTAGCTGTATCGTGAATGTAGCTGTATCCTGAATGTAGCTGTATCGTGAATGTAGCTGTATCCTGAATGTAGCTGTATCGTGAATGTAGCTGTATCGTGAATGTAGCTGTATCCTGAATGTAGCTGTATCGTGAATGTAGATGTATCGTGAATGTAGCTGTATCGTGAATGTAGCTGTATCGTGAATGTAGCTGTATCGTGAATGTGGCTGTATCGTGAATGTGACTGTATCGTGCATGTGGCTGTATCATGTATGTGTCTGTATCTCAAATGCGGCGACTCTATCATGCGCATTATTGTACCAGGAGCCTGTCGGGGAGTGATCGCACTGAACATGGAGGATGGCACGCTGCACCGCTTCCGATCCAACTCCACCATTCTGGCCACCGGGGTGAGTAAAGCCCTGCCGCTCTGTCGCTCTGTTGTAAGCATGGGCCATCCGTTCCCCCCTTCTTCTCCCTCCTCTTGCTTTCAACATGGAGGATGGCACGCTGCACCGCTTCCGATCCAACTCCACCATTCTCGCCACCGGGGTGGGCATTTTACTTTTAGGCGACTGGGGTTAGTGAGTCTTGGATGCTTCATGCGTTTCTGTTCTTCTCCCCTGCATGCATTAGTCCTTCCACTGGGCCCAGAATCCCTTCACCTGAAATGTAAACGCTGCGCCTTCCCTCCCTTTTCCCCCTCTCTCCTTCTGCCCTTTCCTACCCTCTGTCTCCTCCTTTCCAGGGCTACGGGTGTGCCTATTTCTCTGCCACGTCAGCGCACACGTGCACGGGCGACGGCAACACCATGGTGGCGCGTGCAGGGCTGCCCCTGCGCTCTCTCTCCTCTCTCTAACCCACCTTGCTATGGTGTGAACACAGGGACTTACTCACTCACTCACTCACGTTGTCCCTCCCCAATTCCCCCCCTCTCCCCTCTCCCCTCCCCTCCGTCTCCCCTTTCTCTCCCCTCACCTCCGTCTCCCCTTTCTCTCCCCTCCCCTCCGTCTCCCCTTTCTCTCCCCTCCTCCTCCGTCTCCCCTTTCTCTCCCCTCCCCTCCGTCTCCCCTTTCTCTCCCCTCCTCTCCGTCTCCCCTTTCTCTCCCCTCCCCTCCGTCTCCCCTTTCTCTCCCCTCCCCTCCGTCTCCCCTTTCTCTCCCCTCCCCTCCGTCTCCCCTTTCTCTCCCCTCCTCCTCCGTCTCCCCTTTCTCTCCCCTCCCCTCCGTCTCCCCTTTCTCTCCCCTCCCCTCCATCTCCCCTTTCTCTCCCCTCCTCCGTCTTCCCTTTCTCTCCCCTTCAGGGCTACGGGCGCGCCTATTTCTCTGCCACGTCAGCGCACACGTGCACGGGCGACGGTAACGCCATGGTGGCGCGTGCGGGGCTGCCTCTGCAGGACCTGGAGTTCGTTCAGTTCCACCCGACTGGCATTTATGGGGCTGGTTGCCTGATCACTGAAGGTACTATTGCCTAATCACTGAAGGTGCATTCCACTTATCACTCTAGGTGTGCCACAAGGGTGGTTGCACGGCCCCTGCAGGACCTGGAGTCCGTTCAGTTCCACCCCACCAAATTTATGGCGCTGGATGCCTTATCACCAAAGTTACAGTTAGCATTCCACAAAAGGTATGAATGGGTTATCACTTCAGGTGTAAGTGCCGTATCTGGCAGTGTGCACCTGCCAGAAGGGGTACAGGTGAGAGCTGGGCTGCTTTTGCAGGACTTGGAGTCCAGACTTTTGAGTCTGGGCAGTTCCACCCCACTGGGATTCACGTTTCCTCCCTTCCTAATCCCCAGGGTCGTGTGGGAAAGGAGGAATTCTGCGGAACAGCAAGGGCGAGCGGTTCATGGAGTGAACCGACAGCAAGTTCGAGCGGTTTACAGAGTGGTTTATGGAGCGATACGCACCCACAGACAAGGACCTGGCGTCCCACGACGTGGTTTCCCGCAGCATGACCATGGAGATCCGCGAGGGGCGCGGGTGCGGCCCTTTGAAGGACCACATCTACTGTACCTGCATCTGGACCATCTGCCCCTTTCCCCTTGGGACCGCCGCCCACTCCCCTCCGTTCCCTGATTGTAGTCTCTTTCCCTGCGCCCCTGTTTCCAATTCTGCCCGTTTCCTCTCCTTAGGATCACGTGGAGAGGGAGGAATTCTGCGCAACAGCGAGGGAGAAAGGTTCATGGAGCGATATGCCCCAACAGCCAAGGATCTGGCCTCGCGCGATGTCGTGTCCCGCAGCATGACCATGGAGATCCGCGAGGGGCGCGGGTGCGGGCCCCTGAAGGACCACATCTATCTGCATCTGGACCATCTGCCCCCTGAAGTGCTCAAGGAGCGTCTGCCTGGCATCAGCGAGACTGCGGCGATTTTCGCGGGCGTTGATGTGACCAAGGAGCCGATTCCCGTGCTGCCCACTGTGCATTACAATATGGGCGGTATCCCGACAAACTATCATGGCGAGGTGAGACGGAGAGAGGGAGGGAGGGATGCAGAGAGAGAGGGAGCAGAGGGAGAGGGAGGGAGAGTGTGAAGCAGAGGGTGCGGGCCGCTCAAGGACCACATCTATCTGCATCTGGACCATCTGCCCCTTGAAGTGCTCAAGGAGCGTCTGCCTGGGATCAGCGAGACGGCCGCAATCTTCGCTGGCGTTGCCGTGACCAAGGAGCCGATTCCCGTGCTGCCCACTGTGCATTACAACATGGGCGGTATCCCCACCAACTACCATGGGGAGGTGAGAATGAGAGCAGGAGGGAGGGAGGCAGAGAGAGAGGGAGCAGAGGGAGAGAGAGGCGGCGTGTGCATTGGTGCACAGGACCAACCGTTTGGGCACCAACAGCCACTAATCTCCTCCCTTCCATACCCCTTCTTTCCCCCTCCCTTCCGCCTCCTTTCCATGCCTTTCCCTGTCACCCTCCGCTGTATTCCGTTCCTTTTCTGCCAGGTCGTGGCACCCAAGGAGGTTGCTTACCCAACCCGTGCCTCTCCCTTCCGCCCCTGTCTCTGTTCCTTTGTATCAGGTCGTGGCTCCTAAGCCAGATAACCCCGATGCAGTTGTGCCAGGGCTCATGGCAGCAGGCGAGGCAGCGTGTGCGTCGGTGCACGGGGCGAACCGTCTGGGCGCCAACAGCCTGCTGGACATTGTGGTGTTCGGCCGCGCGTGCGCTAACAGGGTGGCTGAGATCCACAAGCCAGGTGCGAGGGAGAGTGATGGTGTGTGTGTCCATGCATATGAGTGTGTGTGCATCGGTGCACGGGGCAAACCAACCGTCTGGGCGCCAACAGCCTGCTGGACATTGTTGTGTTCGGCGGGGCATGTGCGAACCGCGTGGCTGAGATGCACAGACCAAGTGGGTGTGAGTGTGTGCTATCTTTGCCTGTGATTGCCTGCGATACGCCAAGGGCGAGCTCAGACCCCCACATCTTTTTCCTCCCTTCCTCCCTGTGATGCCCTCTCTCCCATACAGGAGGGCCACAGCCCCCCCCCCGCCTGCGGATGCGGGGCAGAAGACAATCAAGTGGATGGACAGGCTGCCATACGCCAAGGGGGAACTCAGCACATCTTGTATTTCCCCTTCCCCGTCTGATGTCATATCTCCTGTGCAGGAGCACCGCAGCCGCCTTTGCCTGCGGATGCGGGGCAGAAGACGATTGAGTGGATGGTCAGGCTGCGATACGCCAAGGGCGAGCTCACCACCACCATGGTCTTTTGCTCCTCTGTTACCCGCCTCCCTGCTGTGTCTCTCCCTTCCCTGACCGCTTCTTACCCTGCTTGCAGGAGCGCCCCAGCCCCCCCTGCCAGCGGATGCAGGGCAGAAGACGATTGAATGGATGGACAGGCTGCGATACGCCAAGGGCCCACCCCACTCATCTTGCTCCTTCCCTTCCTCTTATGATGTCTTGTCGTCTCTCCGTGCAGGAGCGCCCCAGCCCCCCCTGCCAGCGGACGCGGGGCAGAAGACGATTGAGTGGATGGACAGGCTGCGATACGCCAAGGGCGAGCTCAGCACGGCCAAGATCCGAGGCAACATGCAGCGCGTCATGCAGAACAACGCTGCTGTGTTCCGCACCCAGGAGACCCTGGCGGAAGGTGAGTGAGAGACTGGGGGCAGGCTGTATGTTGCCATCAACCATTGCTCCACTATTCTCGATTGGACAAAATGCAGCGCTTGATGCAGAACAACGCCGCCGTGTTCCGCACCCAGGAGACTCTGGCGGAAGGTGGGTGAGGGACTGACCGGGGGAGGCTGTGGGTTGGGGTAGGTGGATGGGATGGATAGAGGGTCTAGGGAATGTGCTGCATTGAGCTCTGCCCGGTCAAGATCCGAGGCAACATGCAGCGAGTGATGCAGAACAACGCTGCCGTGTTCCGCACCCAGGAGACCCTGGCGGAAGGTGAGTGGGAGATGAGGGGAGGCAGGGGAAGCAGTGAAGAGGCGGTATGGGGTAGGAGGGGATGCCCTGCAGCAACATGCAGCGCGTCATGCAGAACAATGCCGCTGTGTTCCGCACCCAGGAGACCCTGGCGGAAGGTAGGCTAGGCTCTTGGGGGAGGTGGTACGGCTATATGTAAGGCTGGAGGGAGCACACAGAAGAGAGCCGTGTTGTCAGCACCTCAAAACATGCAGCGCGCGATGCAGTGCTGAAGAATGCTGCTGTGCTCTGCACCCAGGAGACCCTGCAGGAAGGTGAGTAGGTGCAGGTGCAAGAGAGAGGAAGGACTTGTTGGAGGCTGGTAGGCCTGACTGGGGGAGGTGGGATTGGGAGAAGGCTGGCTTCTAGGCAGCATGCAGCAAGTGGCGCGGAACAATGCTGGTTGATTCAAAATGATGGAGCTGGAGGATCTGTAGACTCCGCACTTGTCACTTGCCGTGCCACCCCGTTTTCCCGTGCTCACTCCCTCACAGGCTGTGACCTGATCGACGAGACATGGAAGTCGTTCGAGCAAGTGGGGGTGACGGACCGCAGCCTGGTGTGGAACACGGACTTGGTGGAAACAATGGAGCTGGAGAATCTGCTCACCAACTCGCTCATCACCATGCACTCGGCCGAAGCACGCAAGGAGAGCAGAGGCGCGCATGCGAGGGAAGACTTCCCGGTGAGTGGCTAGGGTGTGAGCAAGGTGGGTCGAGCAGAGCAGAGCAGAACAGAGCAGTGGTTTAGTGGAACACGGACCTGGTGGAAACAATGGAGCTGGAGAATCTGCTCACCAACGCGCCCATCACGATGCACTCTGCTGAAGCGAGGAAGGAGAGCAGAGGAGCACACGTCAGGGAGGACTTCCCGGTGAGTCCCTTCAGTACACCTTTCTCTGGTGAGAGCATGCACATGCACTCTCAGTACCTCTTCTCGAACTGCCTGACTGCTCACCAACGCGCTCATCACGACGCACTCTGCGGAGGCACGCAAGGAGAGCAGAGGAGCGCACGCCCGTGAGGACTTCCCGGTAAGCATACACTCTCATTCTGACTGGGGAATCTGTACCTCTCTCCAGTGAATGCACACACATGGCCCCCTTGTGCTCTGCTCACCAACGCGCTCATCACCATGCCCTCTGCTGAAGCGAGGAAGGAGAGCAGAGAGGAGCACACGCCAGGGAGGACTTCCTGGTGAGTGGCTGGGGTGTGAGCAAGGTGGGACGAGCAGAGCAGTGGTTTAGTGTGGAACACGGATCTGGTGGAAACAATGGAGCTGGAGAATCTGCTCACCAAAGCGCCCATCACGATGCACTTGGCTGAAGCAAGGAAGGAGAGCGGAGGAGCACACGCCCGAAAGTACTCCCCGGTGAGTAGACAACACCCTTCTCTGGTGGTGAGTGCACGCACACCCCCCTCTCTCTGCTCACCAATGCGCTCATCACCACGCACTCGGGCGGAAGCCCCCTTCCCGGTTTTTTCAAGGTATCTGAGTAAGCATGGCTTACTAACTCACTTTCTCTCACTCACTCAGACTTTTCGCTTTCCCTCACCCTCTCATTTTCTCTCTCTCATCACCACCCCGTGTCTGCTGCCCTCTTCTCTTGGCCTCCCTGTTGTGCCTTTCAGAACCGTGACGACACCAACTGGATGAAGCACACCGTCGGGTATAGTCACACTCCTTTGCATCACCCCTATTCCTTTCCTTCCCTCTGCTAATTACATGTGGTTTGTTCACCACTTGATGCTGATTGATTTGCTTGCTATTGCCCGTGTTTTTTTTAAATGCATCTTATCGCTCCTCACCTTCCTGGCTCTTGTGCTCTTGTTCAGGTATTGGGACAACGGCAGGGTGAAGCTTGATTATCGTCCGGTGCACATGAACACTCTCGACGATCAAGTGCAGACCTTCCCGCCCAAGGCTCGGGTGTATTAAATCAACTACTTAGTGGCCGAGAGAACGTGATAGAGCAGGCTATCCTGACATAGCCCTGCTGTGACTGTGATGTGCTTATCCCTAGTACCAATTGTGCCATACAGCTGTTTTGAGTTGGGTAAATTCATAAATGAGTAACTCTGGATGAAATAGCAAACAGTAAGTATTTTTTTCTTGCGGATGTACTTGTCTAATTGACACCTCGTAACGAGGCTACAAAATCTGTAATTTTGCAGGTTCTCGGACGAACCGCGACGACACCTTCACCCCCCAATTTCCTGCCATCCCAATCCCACCCATCCGCACCGCCCAAATCATGAAGCCGCGGTTGTGGAAACCGCCGCCCCTCGGTACTACTCGCCGCCATCCGTACCGTCGTGACGCTATCAATATCGACCGTTCGATCTTGAGTAGGGGCAACCACTGGCTCGATGTGGCTCCTCCTTCACAAATCAACCTCCCCCGCACGCGGCTCCGTCGTTCCTGCCTTCCTTCTGTGATCTCTTCGCGTTGCTTCTCACCTCCTGTCGGCTGGGAGGGATTCGCTTCCTCCTCACCCACTCACTGGACTGGATTCACTCGCTCGCTCACCATTCAACGGGATCCACTAATTAGGCCTTCCCTGCGAAATTCGAGCATTCATCAGCCGCCATCGAATGCAAAGCACTGGAGCCATTCACTCTCAACAAGCGCACAAGGAGCAAATTTCCAATTCCAAACGCTGCTGCAACGCTTTATTATGGACTCGAATTCTACCCTAACCTTCACCGTAGTTATTAATTGGCTATATCGCCCGAGTTAGTATTCCCAAATCTGCTGCAAGTGGAACAGGCAACTAGTATACGATGCCGCCGAACGATTTTTGAGGCGCCTCAAAAATCGGAACAGGCAACTGGTATACGATGCCGCCGAACGCGTGGACGCCGAACAGTCAACCGGATCCGGAATCAGCCGACAGAGCAGTGGATGGCGTGATGCCTTTGAGCGACACCTACACGTATCGGAACCAGCCAGGGGAACCAGCGGAATAAGCGGTATCAGAGTTAGCAAAGCCGTCAGTGGGTTTCGCACCACCACAAGAATCGGCGGGATTAGCGGGATCAGCGGGATTAGCGGTACTCGGCAGCGTGAACCACACGGAGATGTCACAGAACGGCGGAAATGTGGCAGTGTCACGCGGAGAAACTCTTTCGCACGAATGTTACAACGCCTCACGATCTTCGCAAATGTCGGATTTCTTTTGCACGCCCGCCCTTCTCCCCTGGCGCTTCGACAGTGAGGCAGACCCGGACGTTCCCACTCACTCCCCCTCCTCTGACGTGTCACATCCCACCGACCCTGGGAATATCCCTGAATTTCCGAAGATGCTATTCCTGCCGCAGGGTCTGACATGGCATTGGCGCGCAGCAGTGCAGCAAGCATTTGCCAGTGATTCAAAATTAACAAAACAGCAGAATCTCGGGAGATTTTTCCCACTGCTGCCGTTGCTGCTCCTGGTAGTGCTGATGGCGGCTCTTGCGTTTCGGGTGAGCCAGCCTCGGGGTGCTATCCTCGCTTTAGGCGGGTTCGCTAATTCGCATGGGGCAGCTGTGTGGCTGCAAGCGACTGATGATATTCGCATGGGGCATACGAGTAATAGTGATGCGGGTAACAGTAACCAGCAAAGTCAAGGCGGATTATCGCCGATGGCTGAACTCTTACCACCGCCCTCCGCCACTCCCCATCTCCCTACCGCACCCTCCGCCGCTCCCGTTTCCTCTCTTCCTCCTCCCCTCATCCCCGGCTCCCGCGTGCGCTCCCGCGCGCATCTGGCGCAACTGCGGCGGCGCTGGCGCTGCTTGAGCGCACGCGGAAAGTGGGTGCTTCCGCCCGTCCCGCGCCTGCTGCCGTGGTCGCGGAAGCAGAGCCACCGGAGCGAGTGGGAGTGTGACGACCGTTGGATCCACACGCCCGGCCATGTGGCGTTCCGGGACGCGGATGTGATTGCAGCGAAGGCGGTTGCAGCAAAACGTGGGGGGCTTTTTGCGCGGATTGGGGGAGGGGGAAGGGGGAGGGGGAGAATTGTTGCAGAGAGAGGCGCGAGGGCAGATGCTGAAGGAAGGGCAAGGCGACAGGGGGAAGATAGACGCAAGAGAAAAGGGCGGGGAAAGCGGCGGCTAAAAGAAGCAGGGTCAGGAGTAGAGACAGCAGAAGGAGCGGCAGCAGAGGCAGCAGGAGGGGCAGCAGAAGGAGCAGCAGCAGAGGCAGCAGCAGCAGAGACAGTAGGAGGAGCAGCAGCAGAGGCTGCAGCAGAAAGAGCAGGAGGGACAGCAGCAGGAGTGAAAGGGACAGTGGAGGGGTTTGAGAGTCAGTGGAACGTTCGTCCAGCTGCTAAGTACCAGTGGGAGGTGGAGAGCGGTGAGTGCGGAGAGTGGAGGGATGTGGATGGGTTGATACTTGCTGAGAAGCTGGCGGGGACGAAGGTGCTTATAGTGGGGGATTCGATCAACCACATCCTGTACTCTGCCTTGCGCAATCAGTTTCGCATGGTGACCACGAGAGCAGAGCTGGGGCTGATGAGTGAAGTAGCGTCGGCATCACCATCAGCAGCAGAAGCAGAAGAAGATCTACAAGCAGGTGCAACAACAGCACGAGAAGCAGATGTAACAGCAGCAGCAGCAGCAGCAGCAGCAGCAGCAGCAGAAACTTCATCATCAGCAGCAGCAGTTGTACCTCAATCTTTAGGACCACTATCACCAGCACCACTACCACCGTCACAAGCACCTCCACCGTTGCCAGAAGTGACTGGCCTCGTCCCTCCTTTCTGTCACATCCGCACGGGCTACTTCCCCGAGCTGCACAAGCCCCGATTTCCCCGAGCCTGTGAGGGTTTTGTGTTCCGATCCTCCTCCTCCTCCTCCTCCTCCTCCTCCTCCTCCTCCTCCTCCTCCTCCTCCTCCTCCTCCTCCTCCTCCTCCTCCTCCTCCTCCGCCAACCCAGCCTCGATCAGAAGTACAGTTGGAAGCCCCATCAATGGCGTAGTCAACAGACTGGTCAACGCCTCAACCAACGGTTCTCTCAGCATTGCGGTCAACGACTCAGTCAACGATTTTATCAACATCCCAGTCAACAGGGTTAACGGTTCCATCAGTACTTCATCCGAAAGGTCCCTTGACATCCCAGCGAGCGGCTCAGTTGACTATCTTCCCAATGTAACCCCAGTCAAAGAGCCAGTCAACGGGTCAGTCAATGTGCCAGTCAACATTTCAGCCAGGGGGTCAGTCAGAGTGCCGGGCAACCACTCAGTCAACGTGTCAGTGCTTTTCATACGGAACGACTGGCTTCGTACAAACCTGGAACCAGCAGTCAACAGCACTTCTAAATCGGCCTTCATCCCCTGGCTGGACTTGCTCCAGGAAACCACTGATCCAGTCTCAGCACTGGCAGCAGAAGCAGCAGCAGTAGCAGCAGCAGCAGAAACAGCAACAACAGCACATGTAAAGCTTCGAGACGAGTCTGTACCGTTCAATTCCTCTGCTACCTTGGGATCTCCAGGAACACAGGAAACCCAAAATTCAACGAGCCTTTCTAACGGGGTTGGATTGACTCTTGAGGAGCAACTCTTGATCAATTCGCCAGTATCGGTTCTGGTTCTCAACCGGGGCGCACATTTTGTGGAGACTTCGCGGTTCGTATCAGAGCTCAAACATACGCTTGCTACAGTGCGAGCAGCTGCACCGGAATTGCTTATAATCTACAGAAGCACGCCTCCTGGCCATGATATGTGTAACCTGCATGTGGAACCACTGAAGGTGCCACAGGAGAATGGTGCATTGCCATTTTCCTGGGGAGAGTTTGCGAAGCAGAGTGAGGAGGCAAGAGTGCTCGTAGAAGACATTGGTGGTGTATTTTTGGATGTGGATGGCATGACTGCACTTAGGGCTGATGGGCACTTTACTCCAAAGGATTGCTTGCATTACTGCTTGCCAGGACCACCTGATGAATGGGTGAGGTTGCTTTACAATGTGCTGCTTGATTTGCTGTAAAAATGTCAGTAATCACTTGTGATCAATACCGGTATATTGTTTTGTAGGTGCGAGCAAGTTGAGTGCTGTATGGATTGATGGCAGATGTTGAGTTCCAACAATGTCAGGAATTTTCCCGAATTCCTTAAAGCCAGGATCTCAAGTAAGAGAAATTGGGATCAATTGCAAAACAGTTGACGCTCAGTTACCCCGTTTCTGTATGCGAAGTAGACTGGTTGGCTAGGCAGTTTGGCGTGCGACACTCCCAAGCTTTTGCCCCAGCACCAAATGCAAAACAATTTCAGAAACATGAGACTGTCGGCAAATTTGTGGCATTCTAGCTTCGGATCCGAACCAAACTCCATGCCTACAAGGTTCGGACACACACAAACGAGTTCAGTTTCCTTCGCACCCCTCGCTGCACCCCTTGCACCTCGTCGACCAATCGCAGCCAAGATCCAACCATCAACTGCAAAACATTTGTGGTACTTGAGATCCTGGCTTTAACGGGGTTGACTGTTACGCGTACAGCCCGATTTTCGGACTAAGCACGTTCGGCCGATTTCAACGCTGCCGAGGCTCCTCGCGTCGCCTTCGGCATTTCCCATCGCCAAACCTGCACCCCAACCTCGCTCGCCCGAGGTTTCCTCCTAGCTAGGCTAGCCCCTACATTAGTCTGTGCCTTCATTGAATTCTCATATCAGTTAATCACAATCTCGTTATTCGTTTACCTGCGCACTCTCTTTTACAACTCATAACACCTGGTATCAGAGCTACTTTCCTAGTTCACCCCGCTTTTTCGAGGGTAGTTTGGTGGCATAGGGTGTGGCTGGTTTAGTGACTACACGACGGTTGGCTGCAGGGATTGTTAATTCAATCCTGCCCGACTCTGATCGTTCGTGTTTTCACTTGCTTGAAGGCCACGGATACCTGACTGCCCACCAGGGGCATTTTTTCAAGGGTAAAATACCCTGATTCCCCTCTCAAAAATCCATTTTTTTACGATTACCCTGATTCTGAAAGGGTGGGTGATTTTGTACCCTTTCTTCAAAAGTGTGGAGTTTTTTCTACCCTGTCGAAATCAGTGTGCGCTGATTCTTACCCTTACGCGTCAGAGTACCCTCGCCACTCCCAGCCCCACTCTCCCCCATTCCCTCACTTCCCCGAGCCGCCGAGCCCCATTTTTCCGTATCCCTCGCCACTCCCCGCTCACCTCCCCCCGTTTCTCTCGCATCTCCCAGCCCCTCCCCACAATTCCCTCTCCACTCCCAGCCCCAATTCCCCCATTTCCATTACAAATCAGGGTGCTTAAAAGTTTACCCTGATTTTGACAGGGTGGAAGAAAAAATACCCTGACAGGCAGGGTGACGTCATCAAGGCACCCTGATTCCCAAGAGTGCCCCAAAAGCAAAAATAGGCCCTGCTGCCCACCAGACGTAGCGCTAGGCACATGGATCAGGAGGCGGTTAACAAGATGATGGCGCAAGTGGCAGAAATGCAGGAAAGCATGAAGTCGTTAATGCCAAGTTATATTTATATGTTATGTTTAGGTTGTCTAGGCTATATGGGGGTTAGCACTAGGGGGTACAATTTTTCTCTCGACATTCTTCTTGTACCCCCCCTTGACCTAATCATCACACAACTTCATGCCTAAGATTATAAGATGGTATCTAGAGCCTAGAGGTCTCTAGGACCTAAGATAAGGGCCCACCGTAACCACGTTTCCTCACCTGCCTTGCCTGCTGCCCGCGCGCGCCTCGGCTGCACGCGCGCGGCCCTTTTTTTTTCCCGCGCGCGCCGCTTGAGCAGCCCGCGCGCTCTTCGTTTAGGCCGGTTTAGGCCCGTTTTCGGCCCCGCGCGCCACGTCAGCCGCCCGCGCAGCCTGCCGCCGGCCCGCGTGTCGCGTAAGCCGCCCGCGCGCAGCCCGCTTAGGCCCTGCGCGCCGCGTCCGCTGCCCACGTAGCCCGTTTTCGGCCCTGCGCGCTATGTCAGCCGCCCGCGCAGCCTGCCGCCGGCCCCACGCGTCACCTTCTCCGGTGACGGCGCGCTGCCCCCCGTCGCCCGTCACGGCACCTGTGGGACCCACGCGCTCCCCTGCACCAGCTACGCCGCCCTTGGAGCAACCGCCCCGGGCCCCTGAAGCAGCCGCCCCTGGTGCAGCCGCCCCTGGTGCAGCCGCCCCTGGTGCAGCCGCCCCTGGACCCTCGAGCAGCCGCCCCTGGACCCAGAGCAGCCGCCCCTGGCCCCTGAAGCAGCCGCCCCTGGTGCAGCCGCCCCTGGACCCTCGAGCAGCCGCCCCTGGACCCAGAGCAGCCGCCCCTGGCCCCTGAAGCAGCCGCCCCTGGTGCAGCCGCCCCTGGACCCTCGAGCAGCCGCCCCTGGACCCAGAGCAGCCGCCCCTGGCCCCTGCAGCAGCCGCCCCTGGCGCAGCCGCCCCTGGAGCAACCGCCCCTGGACCCCGAGCAGCCGCCCCGGGCCCCTGAAGCAGCCGCCCCTGGTGCAGCCGCCCCTGGACTCCGTGCAGCCGCCCCTGGACCCCGCGACGCCGCCCCTGGACCCGCGACGCCGCCCCTGGTCCCTGTGCAGCCACCCGCCGAGCACCGGCCCTGCTCGCCCGGCGAGCGCCTGCCCTTCCCGCCTGGTGAGCACCTGCCTTGTTAGCGCGCTGCCGCGCCATCTGCCTGCCTGCCAGCCTGCCTGCCTGTCTGCCTGCCTGCCTGCCTGCCTGCCTGCCTGCCGCGCCTGCCCTGCCCGCGCTGCTACTGCTGCTCCTTCTGTTACTACTGCTAGGCTACTGCTACTGCTACTGCTGCTACTAGCGGTGGCCAGATGCAGCTCCAGCGACATCCACGCGAGTCTCTCCCGCCCCAGCAGCTTCGTGAGTGGTATGCTAATTGGGGTTGTGGCGGTAGCCGTCGTAGCTCTCGCCCTGGAGCTGGTCAGTTGGGAGCGTCTGGCAGTGGCCAGCTGCAGGTGCAGCGGCGTCCACGCGAGACACTTACTTCCCAGCAGCTTCACGAGTGGTACGCTCAGAGTAGAGGGTCTTTGAGTCCCGTTCGCTGCCCGTACGTCATTCGCACAGGTGATCGGGCTGGTCAGCCTTGCGGGACACCTGGTCACACACAGTCCCGCTGCTTCGCCCGTCTGAGCGACGCCTGGCGTACCGAGTTTGGCGAAGAGGCTGAGCTCCCCACCTGGCTGGAGCTGCTTGGGCAGAGGGTAGATGTATTTGCTCTTGACTATGATGTTATTCTCACTGCCATGTATGCATTGCCCACTAGTGCTGACGGTGCCTGTTACCTGTGCGTACCGCCTGACCCAAGTATAGAGCCTGCTGCTCTAGGTGCTGGTGAGGCTGCTGCCCTAGGTGCTGGTGAGGCTTCTGCTCCAGGTGCTGATGAGACTGCTCTCTCTGGTACTGCGCCTGCTGAGGCCTTTTACACCTTCACACTTGACTCCGGTGCTTCTCGCTCCTTCTTTCGCGACAGCACCACCCTCACGCCGCTCAGTCGGCCGATTGCAGTCTCGCTGGCAGACCCCTCTAGGGGTCCAGTCCGTGCGACCTCCACCACTGTCCTCCCTTGTCGTGGTGTCCCGTCCGGCACACTGTCGGGTCTTTACCTCCCCTCGTTCTCTACGAACTTGGTGGTGGGTTCTGCGCTCCAGGACGCGGGTGTTCACCAGTTCACCCCTGCCTACGAGCGTGTGACACACTGCACGTGTGCTCAGACGGGTCGTCACCTGTCTACCTTCACTCGGCAGCCGGGGTCGGGCCTGTACACACTGACCACTGAGTCCCCTCAGGTAGCTGCGTTTGCGTCTGCGTCAGGTCAGTTGTCGGCCCCCTGCTCGTGTCGCGCCTTGTCGCACCAGACCCTCCTTTGGCACCACCGCCTTGGTCACCCCTCGGTGCAGCGCCTTCGCAGCATGCACCGCCGTGTCCTTGTCTCTGGTCTTCCCAGGGTTCTCCCTCCCCTCCCACCCTCGCCTGCTCCTCCCTGTCTTC